TAATGATGAAGCTGGGCCAGATGGTATGTAAAGTATAAGTATTATTTTGGTGTTCTCTCTCTCTCTCTCTCTCTCTCTCTCTCTCTCTCTCTCTCTCTCTCTCTCTCTCTCTCTCTCTCTCTCTCTCTCTCTCTCTCTCTCTCTCTTCGTGTGTGTGTGTGTGTGAATTCTAACATACATACATACATACATACATACCCGGACCGTACTGAACAAACACTATTACAGGGTTACTGACCTAACTTTGTTTATATCTCAACAAGGGTGACCCAGAAGTTGGTGATTGGTGCTGGATAACTTGTGTAGTGATAACAATATTGTGAAAGGTCATGTTTGAGTGAACCTCTGGCCTGCGTTGTGTTGTTACGTTGTGTTGTGTTGTGTTGTGTTGTTACGTTGTGTTGTGTTGTTACGTTGTGTTGTGTTGTTACGTTGTGTTGTGTCGTGTTGTGTTGTTACGTTGTGTTGTTACGTTGTGTTGTGTTGTTACGTTGTGTTGTGTTGTTACGTTGTGTTGTTACGTTGTTTTGTGTTGTGTTGTGTTGTTACGTAGTGGTGTGTTGTGTTGTTACTTAGTGTTGTGTTGTATTATGTTGTTACATAGTATTGTGTGTTATTGTGTGTTGTGTTGTTACGAAGTGTTGTATTGTATTATGTTGTTACGTAGTGTTGCGTTGTGTTGTGGTGTTTGCCATGACAACTTAAGTTACAAAAACTTCACAAATAATTTTTTGGAGATATTTACAAATTCTTCCAAAACTTTATGCTATAGAGGCCTATATACCCGCACACTATAGAGGTTCTATATATTAATTTATAGCTTCAAGTTCCGGCACCCGTTTGCTACCGGTCACTCGAGAATAAGACAAGCACTGTATATGTTAATTTCATAACTTATAATCAACACAGTAAATAAATCTTTAATTCAAACAAAACATATTTATTCATCCATACAATCAATGTAAAGTTGAATAATATATACATTAACCTATTTATTGGATGTTATTCAGGATAGTTTAGTTTTACCTCGTGTGAAATAGGTTCAGTTTTATCGTCGTTTTAAGATGTATTTAAGGTCTGTTTTGTCGTGACATACGAGTTCTATTCATCCATTATTTTAAAGAAGTTCTGTTTTATTATCACGTTATTCAAGTTCAATTTCGTCCTTTCTCCTTATCCATATTCGTCTCATCCACCAGGCCTTCACCTCATCACCATCATCATCATCATCATCATCATCATCATCATCATCGTCGTCGACTATGCCGTAAAAGGACCTCCACCACTTCTCCCTGACCGTCGTCCCCAACACACCAGATATAGTCTAACTTTCCCAGAGTCATTTAGTGTCCAACCAGACCTTTAGGACCTGGGAGAGCCGAGGTACCAACATGGGAGCGTTTGTTCTCTGTCTGGAGGCTGCATCTACGTTGGGGTAAAGACTTTGAGTCTATACTGTTATAGTGCTTCTGTTTTACTACGCCATACCTCACTCAATTTGTTAACACCAGCACATGAAGGTCTCCCATTCAGACAACACACAGCTTTCTAATTCTCTGAGAATAATTTCTGCCATTTCATATGATTCGTTGATTTCTGTACACAGTTTGAGGTACTTTGGAAATGTCTTTATTGTATTGAGAGGTTTTGCTTTTCCGTTTTATATCTCTCCCCGATAATATATGTAAGCCAGGGAGTGGATACCCAACACCCTTCTCTGAACTGAAACTCCTGTATCAAAGAAGATACCTTGTGTCGCCTGGCCTCCTTAAGAAGACCTACAGAGGGGAATCATCTGTACCAGTAGATCTGACCAGCATGTCTGAGAAAGACACAGATTTACAGCATGAAGGTGATGCAGAACTATTCTTGTGAGGATGTTAGATGTGGAGGTGGATAGCAGTTTGGTGTTGTTCCATCATGACCCGCTTGACACAACACTCCTCATACCCAAGGATTACCTTTTCCTTCAGCTACACCGGGACGTAATTATTGCTCTACCATGTGTCACACAGGAACTGGGTGGGATTGGTTTTGTTGTTATTGTGTTAAAGTAAGGAGCTCTAACCTTTGAGTAGATTTTTTGATGAACCACAAAAACACAGCACTTCGATGAACCATTTCGTGTGCACGCAGCTGATTTATTTCGGCTTCTGGCAGAAATAAAAATACCTGTCGAGCTCATTCACCAAACGAATTTGATAATCTCATCAGTGATTGAGGCACAGCATTTCCATCCACAATATAATCTGTCGAAACTGTCTCGTCAACTGACAGTTTGTTGGGCAAACTCCTAGACTGTAGATCAATCCTCTAACTTGTGAAGAACTAAAGGTTTGTCAGTCTTGACTGGCAGACCATCAGCCGTTACCAATGCCCAATGCAGTGGTCCAAGTCGGTAGGATACCAATTTCCAAAGTTGAAAGTCGTATTATTCTAAAAGCATAATTAATTCTGACAACACTGTACTCGACCCTCCACAACCTTCTTTTGTGTTGATCCGAGTTTCACCTATTATCTATGGTTACTGAACATCTTAAGACAACATATTTCTTCCACCAATCTGTTTTGCATGAACTCTTCAGAGAAAACATTTTCAGAAATCTCTACATGCAACAGGTCATCTGCAATATATTCTGGAACCCGATCATCAGACGAGAGACACAAAAAGTCTTCTTTCTCTTGTGTTGCAAATGGATTGATGAAATATTGGAAGGAGATCGTGAACTAATGCTCCCCAGACTCACTTTGCTTTATCTCAGATGTTCATTGCTTCAGTCTTTCCAACAACCTCGGGTGTAACTGTTACATAATTCGCCTTTACATACCTTGTGAAAATAAGCAGAGAAGTTTGGGCTGTCACCAGTAATTCTACAGTGACTCGATATTGTAAGGCAGTTAATTGGCTGTTTTAATACAAGATCAACAGCATTTCTGGAAGGAGGCATCAGAGATCTCGACACAGAAAATCTTTTATTTCGTACAGAGGTTGAGCACCTGGAGTAACTGTGATATCTTTGCTGAAAAGTTAAGGGCACATGTTTTGAGTAAATGTCAGTAGTAGGTCGATATCGTACAGTTTGATGGTGGTGATCAATCATTCGAGATGCCTTCCTCGTGTGTGAGAGTTGGCGACCACGGCCCTCAACACTAAACGTTTTCGTGTAGTGATAAACCTCAGCAGTATACTGAATCCCAAACCGAGCTGTTTTACTAAGTTCACCGACCCTCAGCTTTCCTCTGAAGTCATAACACTACTCATATCGTTCTCTGCATAACTACTCTGCTGTAGCCTCACCCGCACGCTCACATGCTGAGCATCTGCTTTGCTTTAACAGAAAGTGAACTTGCCCCTGTTGGGTTGTTCAGAATCTGACAGTAATCTTACTAATGGTTCAAGTATAACAGTACACTAATGGATCTCTTTTTATGCTTTTCCAGACATCACCTTTTCAGTCCATTACAAATTCTAACTTCAGTAAAAACAACCCCAAGACCGGACCCTTGCACGAGTTTTCCAAGGACCCAAGTAAGAGTACACAGTGTGAAGCTCTCCCACTACCACAACCTCTTAATGCTGTGGTTACTGCCACAGTAGGTGTGTTGTCTCGACCACGAAAAGATAAAATATTACCATTGTATGTCGACTTGTTTCCTTTGTAATATTTTCCGACAATCGCAAGTCCTCCCAGTCGATTCGTTTCTCAGCTGTTGGCAAGTGTACTCACAACACTATCTTATAGAAAGCCAACCTTACCAACTGGGCACTAATGTTCCAATGTCATTTAAGCTTGATTGACACAACATCCAAAACAATTCCGAGTTCAGAAGTTGATTAAGGTTAACAGGAACACTAACTCTTGCAATTAACTCTGTCAAGTTTGGTTCCACCTTCTTTAAGAAATATGAGTTCAGTACTAGTGGCTGTAATCTAAAGTTTTTGTTGTTTTTTGTTTTTTGCTCCTGCCACCAGTTTGTTGTCGCTGTTATCTTTTGGAAGCCAAAGCCGAGGGTTGAGCAGTTGTCTTGTACTAGAAGGAGCTCTCTTCATTTAGGTCAACATTTTCCCATCAGAGATGAACCACTTGATTCTTATCTGTGAGTCTCTGCCACATCACAGTGTCCAAAATAGTTCACTCATTATCTCTGCACTGCCTGCAATATGGCGGACACACATCTACCAGAAAATATTGTGGTTGAGGATGGTGGCTGTAGTTACTGTAGTTGAAGATGGTGGCTGTGTTTACTGTGGTTGAGGATGGTGGCTGTGGCTACTATGGTTGAGGATGGTGGCTGTGGCTACTATGGTTGAGGATGGTGGCTGTGGTTACCGTGGTGCATTTTTGAAGACGTTGGGATAAACTCGACTGACTACGATTGATGCTTCTCCCTGTCTCTTGTCACCTGATGCTACCGTCACAAAGGATGCTTCAACTGCTTGTTATGTTTCTTCACCTGCCCTCAGATGTTCACTGCCTTCATTAACAGCAGTTGTGTCTCGTCTTTCCTGCCTATGAGTGTATTACCTTCTTCAGCTGTCATCACTTTTGTCTTTTCTTTCCTCTGTAGCGTCTTTTATCTATAGTTGTTTTTGTCAAGCCTTGATCAGTTCGTCTTTTCTCATTCTTTATCCTTTTGTTGAAATCCAATTTACTTTCTTTTTAACAAAATATAGAAATAAGTATTATTTTTCTCTTACTGGGGAGTAGATTCCTGTTTTCAGTTGTTTGGTTCTGATATTCCCTGATGTATTGTACTTGTATAAGACAGGTTATGTGGAGACTTTATCACAAACATCCTCTTACTTGTCCTTTATATCTTCAGACACCAGGATGAGGTGTTCCACTTCATTCTTTCTTCCTCGCCTTCAGTCAGTGAACTTCATAACTTTAGTGTCATTTTTTCTATCAGGTGTTGTGAGTCATATGAAAGTTCTATTCTTGTCTGACCTTACGATCTTGTTCACCTTCTTCGTTACATCTTGCTAACTTGAATATTTTTTATCCCTCATTGTCTGGAAACACAAAGCGATAACACTTTAATATTGTATGTGAGGTGACAGCGTGAGGTGACAGCGTCAGGTGGCAGTGTGAGGTGACAGCGTGAGGTGACAGCGTGAGGTGACAGTGTGAGGTGGCAGCGTGAGGTGGCAGCGTGAGGTGACAGCGTGAGGTGACAGCGTGAGGTGGCAGCGTGAGGTGGCAGCGTGAGGTGGCAATGTGAGGCGACAGTGTGAGGTGACAGCGTGAGGTGGTGGCAGCGTGGGGTGGCAATGTGAGGTGACAGCGTGTGGTGACAGTGTGAGGAGGCAGCGTGGTGGCAGCGTGAGGTGACGGCGTGGTGGCAGTGTGGGGTGACAGTGTGAGGGTGGCGTGGTGACGGCGTGGTGACGGTGTGGGGAGGCGCGTGAAGGTGGCAGCGTGAGGTGACAGCGTGGGGTGAACAGCGTGAGGTGGCAGTGTGAGGAGCGGTGTGGTGGCAGCGTGGTGACGGCGTGGTGACAGTGTGAGGTGACAGCGTGAGGTGACGGTGTGAGGTGGCAGCGTGGAGGTGTGTGGGGTGACAGCGTGAGGTGACAGTGTGAGGAGGCGGCGTGGTGGCAATGTGGGCGACGGTGTGGTGGCAGCGTGAGGTGACGGTGTGAGGTGGCGGCGTGGTGACGGCGTGGTGATAGCGTGGTGGCAGCGTGGTGGCATGTGAGGCAGCGTGGGGTGGCAGTGTGGTGAACGGTGTGGTGTAGCGTGAGGTGACGGCGTGGTGACAGTGTGAAGGTGACAGCGTGAGGGTGACGGTGTGAGGTGGCAGCGTGAGGTGACAGCGTCAGGGTGGCAGCGTGGTGACAGTGGCGGGGTGGCAGCGTGACGCGGCGTGGTGACGGTGTGAGGTGACGGCGTGGGGTGAGCGGTGTGAGGTGGCAGCGTGAAATTTGACAGCGTGAGGTGACGCGTGAGGTGGCAGCGTGAGGTGGCAATGGGTGACAGTGTGGTGACGGCGTCAGGTGACGGCGTCAGGTGACGGTGTGGTGGCAATGTGGGGTGACGGTGTGAGGTGGCAGCGTCAGGTGACAGCGTGGTGACGGGGTGTGAGGTGGCAGCGTGGTGACAGTGTGAGGTGGCGGCGTGGTGGCAGCGTGGTGACAGTGTAAAGGTAACAGCGTGAGTGGCAGTGTGGGGTGACAATGTGAGGTGGCAGCGTGAGGTGACAGTGTGAGGTGGCAGCGTGAGGTGACAGCGTGAGGTGACAGCGTGAGGTGACAGCGTGAGGTGGCAGCGTGAGGTGACAGCGTGAGGTGGCAATGTGAGGTGACAGTGTGAGGTGGCAGCGTGAGGTGACAGCGTGAGGTGACACCAGACCATGAGTCATGTTTACACAACTACTGCACCTGGACCCGGGAGTAATAAGCCCCCGCCTTACACTTATTATCCCGAGAGCGTGTAAAGAAACATGTCTTCTTAATATTTTACTCCTGGTATGTGAAGACAGTTGATTAAACACCATTATGTAATTATCTAATTAAAAAGATGTGAAGATAAGATGGTTTAGATTAAGTTTGACATTATTGAGCAAATACATACACTAGATGTATCTATTTTCATCGGTGTGACGTCATCATGCTGTCAAGACACTGAAGTGGGTAATATTACAAAAGTAAAATACAATTACACGAATACCAGATGTCATAATATGCTAATTAAACTATACAAAAATATCATGCCTTTACATCAACATTATGACATATATTAAGGTTATCCACTATTGTTTTTGTCTACAGTTGATTGTACTCTGGGTATTGTTACACTTTGCGTCTAGTAAACAAGGGAATTTCACCCTCCTATATGATTAACTATGAAATTATGTTTGTGCCGGAATATCCCCCAGGACGAGGGAGTGTCTCAGTGTGTACCTCTACAGTATACTGCACTCGAGCAAGATGCCACCTCACTCCTCGAACCAAAATGTTTCCCTCGATATTGTGACCTTTGACCTTGTCATTCAAAACACAGCAGTCGTCCTGATACACACACACACACACACCAACAAAGAAAAGTTTAATTTGTAAAGACAGAATCGGGCTGTAGAGGTGGTTGTCACTCGACTTCTCTCTCCCCAACACCTCTGACAACTGCTGTAATGATCTCACTCACGGCGATGACTTATGACTTCTATCACTAACCTCTTAAGAACTATAAAATAATAATAATAATAATAATAATAATAATGAAAATAATAATGAAAATAATAATAATAATAATAATATTAATAAAAATAATAATACTATTAATATTAATAGTAATAATAATAATAATAGTAATAATAATAACAAAACAACAATAATAACAACAATAAAAACGACAACAACAAAACAACAACAGTGTAACAGTGTCATGTTTTGAGAGTATATTGTGTCGTGTTTCATACAAAATATGTATCAGAATTCGGCTTAGTCAAAATTTCCGCCAAAATGCCACTGTAGCGAAGCACACCCCAAGCTGCGCCGGGTATATGAAGTGCCTGCATGTGTGCCTACACCCTAGCCAATCACTGTGACCTGTAAGTGTGACGTCAAAGGCATAGCTGAGCTGATTGGGTGAGGCCTGGGAGTTTCGTATCCAGCAACAAGTGAGCTCGATTTTCTAACTGAGAGAGTCTGTGTTTGGGAGTAGTAATGTTTTTTTTTTTTTTTTTACGGGGATTAACCCACCCGACACAGGTCACTGACCCACAACAGGGCCTGGGAGACGAAAAAATATAATAATAATAATAATAATAATAATATCATTAATAATGATAATAATTATATTAATAATAATAATAATAATAATAATAATAATAATAATAATAATAATAATAATAATAATGATAATAATTATAATAATAACAATAATAATAATAATAATAATAATAATAATAATAATAATAATAACAATAATAATAATAATTAAAATAATAATAATAATAATAATAATAATAATAATAATAATATTAATAATATTAACTATTATTATTATTATTATAATAATTCATAAAAATCAATAACAAAATACTAAAAATAATAATAATAATAACGAAAAAATAAATCATGAATGAGAAACGATATACATTATGTATGTTGTATTGTCACAGTAAGAGAAACAATTGAGACCCTGCAATTGTGTGTAAATGAGGCAGAAAGTCAGATGAGCAACCTGGGACTTGGTCACAGTTTTTGTGATGCCATATGGCAGCAGGGTCCACCATTAGACAACACATTATGCTTCCAATATCTTCCCAGGCGGTAGTACCTCCCTGTTTGGTAGCTGCCTACTACCTACTGCCTACCAAGACGTGTGTGTGTGTGTGTGTGTGTGTGTGTGTGTTTGTGTGGGTCGGTGGCTTCAGCATGGCGAAATATACAGTTAAGAAAGTGTACCCTGTGGTAAACTCCCTTTATTTACGTAATGTTATATTGTGAAGCTCGGTAGGAGTGTAGGTTACTGCTTTGATGGGTCATTGTCAATCCTAATATACTGTACAGTGTTCAATAAATACAATAACCGGTAAGCAGTGTCATAATTCATCCCTCCCGTTATTGAATAAAGTTGATTTAAATAAAGTGAAAATACCCTATTGAGTGATTTATAACCAAGAGAACACTGAGTATGAGCCTGGCGTTCTAAAGGCCGTAGTGACCGTAAGCCTCCTCCATACACGGCTCGCCTCCCTACCTACCCTCAGTGTGGGGGCTGACCACAAGGGGGACTAACTGCTTTGCCCTCTCACAGTCCTTCCTCCTCCTTCACCTACCTCCTTCTCTCTCCAATAGAAAAGAGAATTAAGAGAAAGAAAAGAGAATTAGAGAATTATTATAAAATAGAGATATAAAGAAATAGTAAGTAAAGAGAAAATAAAAGCGACAGATATACCTCAATTGTTACAACAGAAACATCAACAACAACGACAACAGCGACAATAACAACAACGAACCAACAACAGCAACAAAAAACAACAGTAATAACAGCTAAGACAACAACAACAGCAACAACAACAATACCACAATATACATTACCCCAGGACCACATCCACACACAACAAAACACAAATCACCGATCATAATATAAATTACTGAACAGAGATCAGACAAAAAGAAACTACCGGAGTTGTTTATCTTCAAGAGTATTTACACACTGAGGGATGGTGTTAAGGTGGACCAAGGTGATAGAAGGACCTTGAGAAACAGTGTTAAGTGTTCCCCTGTGTATGTGGGTTACACCTTACTTATGTTATTGTGATTTGATTTGATTTATTTGTATTTAGAAAGAATCTTGCGGCTATTGTTTTTATTATTGTTTTGTCCTCATTGTCATCATCATCATCATAATCATCATCATCACTAGTTATTATTATTATTATTATTATTAATATTATTATTATTATTATTATTATTATTATTAATATTATTATTATTATTATTATTATTATTATTGCCATTTGGTGTTGTGTGGTGGGAGTGTTGAATGGTGTGAGATATATGATATAGTAAAGATAGTGCTGAGAGAGAGAGAGAGTGTGTGTGTGTGTGGACAGAAGTACGCCTGTAGTCACGACACTCTCTGCCTGTTGTCCTAAATCACTCCGCGTTTCCCTCCGTCCCCTGTACATCTCCCCTCACTCATTACCTCTGCCTTCCTCTCCTTCATCCTATCACACAAGAAAAATAAACACCTCTTACCAATAGCTCTTTTTCTCATGGCTGTTCCAAACATTTCTGTCACCTTATAAACAAATATACCTTCGTTTAGAGGAAGAAAAATATAATTAGTACCTGTAATCGGGAGACTTCAGGTAGGTATACGTGCGATTTAGTAAAGAATGTCAGGTAATATTTTAATTTTTTTCATTCTCCTGTTTCTCCTACTACTCCACCTCCAACCAACTCCTCCTCCTACTCGTTACTATTCCTCGACATCCTCCTCCTCCTACTCGTTACCATTCCTCACCATCCTACTCCCCATTCTTCCTCCCCCTACACCTATCCCCTAAAAAAATCCTGTATTCACCTCAACAAATGCACACAAACTTTTACCTACTCTTCCTGACTGTAAATTTGTGTCACATCAAAATTCCCACGAGAGACGTTAACGCTGATCCTCTCTCATTCACCTTATCACCATCACACCCTCAGTCCATCAGGTCTATCTACTCTATATACAAATGTTAAACAAAAATAAATAGAATATATATGTAAAATGTGGTTAAATTTCTCTCTCCATTCAACCTCATTGTATTTTGTCTCACACAGGTATCTCACTCAACTGATCAGAGTAAGGGAGCCATGCCGACGTGTACAACCTCGTCAGTATAGAGACTAATACTCCCTCACCTTTGTCATTTACCCCTCAAAACACATTCTCTCAGTATTATAATTTCTCCCTCAGTATAACAATATTTCATCAGTATTATTATATAATCCTTAGTATTACAATACTTTCCTCAGTATTACAATATTTTCCTCAGTATTACAATATTTCCCTCACTATTACAATATTTCCCTCAGTATCACTATATTATCCTCAGTATCGCTATATTATCCTCAGTATCACTATATTATCCTCAGTATCACTATATTATCCTCAGTATAGCAATGTTTCACCGTCTGGTTCCTTCGCTCTAGCACCACACTTCCTTGTAACACTTATGGTAATTTGCATAACCTTGTCTTAATATAATCGTGTACTTATGTCACCTCACACACAAAAAAATAAAATAATTAAATAAATAAAAATAACTTTGTCCGCATCACAGTGCTTCATTCTCTGCCACCATGACGCCTCTACCTGCCACTCTCACCAACAACTACCACCATCAAGACACACATTCAACAGCCATTGTGGTGGGCAAAAGACACCCTTACTGTATCTCATCTCCAGTGTTAGATTAATCATTCGTCCCTTTCTCCAGCCTGACACACTCACTCCCTGGTTCACCTACACAGAGTAACGCAAATGCTTAGGTTGATTGATACGTTTATTGAGATACAAAAAACATTAATACATCTCAATTCCTGCAGTTTACTGGGTGGTGGAGGGGGCATCATGGTGGGTGGTGGAGGGGGCATCATGGTGGGTGGTTGTGGGGAAAATGAACCAAGGTCGGTGGTTGTGAGAGACGGATATAAACACACACAAAGAGATAAACTGTAGAATTATGAAGGGAAGAACAAAATAAGATTAACACTCAAGGACTCAGTGAAGTGAGATGGAAGGAAGGGAGACGAAGGAGGAACTTTATGGACGAGGAATAGCGGATTATATTCTCAGGATTTAGAGGACAGTAAAGGAGGAGTTGAAGTCATCCTCGAGATAGAATCAGGCTAGTG